TATTGGTCTGATCATCCTAATTACTTGTCTCATCTACTTTCATGATGCTGGATAAGTGAAGCTCAGAATTCTAAAATGATCTTCTTAAAGAATCCTAATCAAAAGAATCGGAATTAAACATTGCTCGCTGCAATATCGTCATAATTATGTTCCGATGCTCAACAGCATCATGCCAAAAGTAGTGAAATCGAGTGATTCACTACGTATGCAAAGGCATTTATCCCAGGACGATCAGCCCATTGACCGACAAACCTGCATTAAACGTAGCTCATTTCCTCTTGCGAGTAGACGACTTGGAAGTAGCCTTGGAAGAGGATTGGGTAGCCAGTTCCTCCTTCTTCTCTCCCTCGACAGCGGGAGCAGGCTCCTCCTCCTCCTCCTCATCAGTATCTCCTCCCTGGCCGAACTCGTTGACGCGCTTGTAGTCAACCTTGTACTTCCACCCCTGGTAGAGCCAGACGAAGAAGATGACGTCGTCACGAAGAGTCGCCAGGCGGTGGAGCCAGGGCATTTTGACGGTGAAGGCGAAGAGATCGTCGATGAAGGTGTTCAAGAACTTGTAGGTCAACGCCTTGCCGGGCATGTGGGCAACAGACTTCAGTCGGTAGTTGATGTAGAGACTGGGGACCATCATGAGGAAGCCGTACGCGTAGACACTGCCCACCAGGGTCTGGATAACGTAAGAGTACCACGACTTGTGGGTGTTGTAGACCAGGCTGTACGCGGCGTATGCGAGCAGAAGGGGAACAGCCAAGATGTACAAGTAGCGGAAGGCAATTTCATCATACTCCTTGGTCTTTTCCTCGGTCTCGCTAAGCTTGTGCTTGTCCTCGAAGACGATCACATAGGGCAAGAACGACAACCAAGAGTTGGCTGGCGGCGGGCGCAAGCGAACATCGACGGTCTTGGTGATTTTCCAGAATTCCAGAAGGATACCAAATCCTTGACTGGCCAGGATCATCCAAGAAGTGTTTTCGCTGTTGTCCATGAGGTAGAGGAAGATAACAGCCTGCATGAAGACGTTTGCTAGGATTGTCCGGACTGAAGTGCCAACAACGTCCTTCTTCTTACGCCAGTGGGCCTAAAAAGTGAAAATGTTAGCGACGCTAGCCACCACACCTTTTGATGGTGACATCACTTACAATATCGTTCTTGAAGGCCAAAGTCTCAAACAACATATGCAAGACAGTTACCACACCCGTGGTACAGAGGAGCCAGATGTTAGTATCCAAGAGAATCTCCTTCACCATCTCCCACTCGGTACCATCTCCACCTCCGGGAACAGGCTGGCCATAGGCAGCTTGGCGAGAACTTTGCTTGGAGCCTTCATCAACACTGCTAAGGATGTTGAACTTCCAGTTCGCCATGTTGTTGAGAGTAATATGCAACGGCACGGTCTCGACGGTAGAGTTCAGCTCAGTCATGTGGGACTTCAGTTGCCAAAAGGTGTTGAAGAAAGCGATCGGGTAATACCATCCATTCTTTCCACTGGCATCGCGGGCACCAGTCCGCTCCAGCTGCACATACTGGCGAACCGCGGGGTTCATCTGAGCCAATTTCTGAATTCCAGAGTCTGGGATCAGGGACAGGGTGAAGTTGGGGTGGTAGTAGGACATAGTTGAAACATCCGGGGTGTTATCTTCCTCCTGATCATGTTCATCCTCAGCGTCCGACAGAAGATTCTTCAGCTTCTTGACCTTCTTCTTAGGGAGGTACTGGTTCAAAGGTCGGAAGAAGTGGACTGCATCAGCGGTGTTGTAGTCCTTAGCGGTGGGGTCTAACGGGTATCCGGTACGAGCCAAAAAGAAGTGAGCCCAGAAAGTTCCATTCTGTTGGACCTGCTTTGGGACCTTGATGGTGGTGTCGATTTCGCGAGTGTCACTGTAGTTTCCAATTGTGAAGTTCTTCTCGTCCACCACAAGAACACTGTCCGGTGACTTGAAGTTGGGCACAATGATAGACGGAGATACATAGACGCTGAGGTCGATAGCGCTGTCGGAGGGCCAGATTGGGGCGATGACCTCGGGCAGAGCACTACGTTCGGCGACTTCGCTAGGATCGGGGCGATCGGCAAAAGCGGGGATGCCAGCAGAATTCACGCTGGGGGAGTCTGCCTTGTCCTTATTTCCCATGTATTGGTTGATGGCAAATTGAGCCAACAAGAAGATTCCAAGACCCTGAAGGGCACCCTTGAAGCCCGACTAAAGGGGGTCAGTAAATTCAACACAACAAGACTGAATCAGCGACACATACGTTGGACTCCTCCTGTCTGCGTGGCCTCTGTTCCGACATAATGGATGAGGAAAAGAAGAGAAGCCGAAAGGCCAGCTATGGGCGATTAGCAGATCAGATCGAGGCTCGGGAACTTGCGCGGTCTTGGCATTTGTCTTCCGACCCTCCGGGGATCTTCCATTCTTATACTTGTTTGCTATTAAGCAGCTTTGAAAGTGCAATCGCGTGATGGATAGTGCGTTTGGCTGTTGGCATTGACCCTCATGGACAATAACCCCCCCTTTGATGCCCGCGCGCAATTCCCGTCGCATAATGAGCCTCGAGTATGGCTGATCACCGCGGGGGATTCACCTATTGGCCTCTCAGTCGCGCGGCAGGTCCTTGCGCATGGAGATTATGCATTTCTTGGACTAGCACATTCAGCTTTGGAACGCGATGAACGTCGCCGTGATGAATTTGATGCTTTCCTCGCTGAGGTGGAGCACCACAGTGATGGCCGGGCACGGCGCATGAAGACAGTTCCGCTAGATATCCGGTGCGCTAAATCAAGGCAGCCAGGTCAATATGAATTCCCAGACTAATAACTGACGGTTTTCTGACACAGAATGATGGGAGGATGCCAGGCAGCCGTGGCAGATGCAGTCGCGACATTTGGGAGAGTAGACATACTTCTATGCTGTACAAGTCAAGGTGACCCTCCGTTCTTGAAGGTACCCTTGTATAATATGCTGACCTGCTCCGAAGCCCTTATCGGAACAGTTGAAGAACTTTCAGCTTCAACCCAAACCATGAATCTCGTGCGCGATCAATTCGAGGTTAACTATTTCGGCCCCCTCAATATCATCAAGGCCACGCTCCCCCATATGAGGAAAGAGCGAGCAGGACATGTGATGATAATATCAGGGATCAGTAAGAAATATATCTTGCCCAGTGCCTGGCTATTTGTCTGACGATATACAGCGGCGCATATCGGTACACCCGGACTAGGAATGTACTGCGCAGCAGGCTGGGCCCTTGAAGGGTTCTGTGATGTCAGTCCCTCTATGCGCATTTGCTCAAATCCATGGATGATCTCCATTGCAGAAACTAACAGCTTCATAGAGTCTCGCTTACGAAATTGCTCCATTCAATGTCAAACTCACCATCTTCCAATGCAGCATCGAAATTGGCATCCTCACCAACCTAGTGACCAGCGTTCCTCCAATCTTCCCGGCCTATTCACCCGCCAACAACCAAGCACCTCTCTTCCGTGGGATCCTAAACCACCTTGTCCCCCAACTTCCCAATGCTTCTACGTCACCTGACAGTCCAGTCACGCCCAGTCGAGCGAACGATGAAAACGCCCGAGTCAGCTCCGCTGAAAATGGCCCATTCTCCGCCCCTGAGGTTGTCTCCATGCACCCACCATTAAGCTCCGCACATCTTGAAGTGCTGGTCTCTGAAGCAGTCTATGCCATTACATCAATTGGTGGCCATGAAAACCCTCCTTCGCGACATATCGTTGGACAAGAAGGTGTTGCGAGTGTCAAGGAGAAGCTCAAGACTGTGAGTGAAGAGCTCGAAGACTTTATACAGGCAAGCTTTGCTGTTGATGTTTCTGCGGACTCCGATCCTATGCCCTCTATATCTGGAACGAACGACGGCCCTCAGTAGATAGTAGTATCAGCGCGCAATCATATTTCTTTAGTAAACAACGAGCTCGCGTCCAACTTTGGAAGGTGTACGGCTTGATAGCTAAGTTATGTAATTCTCGTTTTACTTCCAAGGTTGCCGTCAATCTAAAGTCACGACAGGTCATTACGGATACAGTTGAGCAGTCCAGCTAAGTCCCTGATCGGGTATAGTTGAAGGGGAGATATTAATCCTTCATCACATATTTCAGAATTATTCTGCGAACGCGGATTTTCTAATCTTGAAATTCCCTGCTCTATATACGTATATTTAGTGACTTTTCTTGGTCTTTATTTTTACCTGGTAATGTCTTTTCTGTGTGATTGACGGGCTCGAGTCCTTAGTTTGAGGGAAATGGGCTCTCACGGGGTGTCTAAATTTCTAAATTTATAGAACCCCTGTTACAAACCTAGTACTTCCTACCGGCTATGGGTAGAGGCATACCCGGACCAGCCAACCCCATTTGGTTTGGGTCTGGGGTACAGACCGCTTGAGCCTTTTCCGTGCATCCGATACGAATGGGCATGCCAAGTATGGGCTAGACTAGCACATGGATACGAAGCATCATGATATGAATATAGGCCGCGAGGATATAGTCTGTAATTAGAATCCAATCCATGGGTCTTTCGATATGGCATATAATTTACTTCAATTATGAGAAAACGACAAAACAGGAACATAGCAGACGTGTACGTAGGCAAAATGATAAACTTCAGGAAAGGGTGCACTTCTTTTGCCCAGTATGACTCACTCAGCACTTGGCCAGGAGTTCTGTCAGGTCGGATATACTCCCTTGCGAAAAATGGACTGCGAAGCATACATAGGTTGCTAGAAAAAGCGATAGACCATCGATGTGATGACTCCTAGCCCGTTGCAAGACTAGTCAGAATACTTTACTTTACATCATAGACTCCTATTCATTACTTTATCTGTAAGATATCACTAAAACTTCGGGTTCGTTTGTTCATTATAAGCTAGCTACCTTGTTCATGTATGGCCCACCTGCCATTCTGATCTTCGCATGATATCAAGGGTAGTGTACGCGAAAATCAGCTGGGCTGGTGTATCGCTATTTCCATGCTAGAAGTGGAAGGCAGCTACTCATGTCGTCCATGCTGGAGGAACCAAGCCTCTCGCACATCAAAGAGACTGCCCATGTCCTGGTTGTTTCGGTAGCACCGGATTTCCTTCCAGGCATTCGATGTACGGCCGTTCGGCATGCGGCCATCGATTTGTAGGATCTTCAAAACAAGTGCTTGTGGCGAGGAGAGATTGGGAACGATGATCTCGTCCGGCTCACTGGTAGTAGTTTGAGATGTAGTTGGGACTGGATCTTTCTGTTCTCCAGTACTTAGGGGTTTATTGATTTCGTCTTGCTCAGCCTCGACAGGGGGCTCGATAGGTGCCACGACGCCGTCCATAGGTGCATCGGGTTGAGCCGTGGATAATTCCAATAATTCGACTTTATCATTATTGCCGTTGGTATTGGCAATGGATGACTCTTCTACTGACGTAGATAACTTTGGCGCTGGGGTCTGAGAAGTAGAAGAAAGCACCGACCAAGAGGGTTGTGGCTGGGAGGGCTTTGTGTGGGAGGATTCTGCTGCAGCTATGCAGTTTTCGTTTTCTTCAATTTTTGCAGCCACGATGTCCATGAAAGAAAGAGGAGCAGTTGTATTCTGCTCCTCGCCTTGGGTCACTTCAATTTCCTGAGACACCTCCGGTTCCTTGGGCGGCTCCGGTTCGGGTTGCTTTGGTGGGTTTTTACGTGGTCGCCCTCGCTTGCGCTTAACTGGGGCCTGAGTTTGGGGCTCAGGAATTGTGCGCTTGGGTTTTTGATTTGGTGTACCACCGGGGCTGAAAATAACAACGCTGAATGGCGTTTCTTGTTGGCCCTCTTCCTCATTTGAAGGCGAAATGACTGGCTGTGTGGCGGTTTCGGTGTCGATATTCATGTCGTCGGTGGAAAATGTAGGGATCTCATGTGGCGCTCTGTCATTGTCGAGATTCATTCCCTCCTTATTGAAAGAAGCAGGGGTCACCTGTGGCGCTTGGTCGGTTTTGATATTCATCTCGTCAGTGGGAGCTGTAGGGATCTGATGTGGCGCTCGACCATTGCCAAGCTTTATTTCCTCGTCATTGGAAGAATCAATGGCATCTTGTGGCGCTTTCTCGCTATCAAGCTTGATATCTTCGCCATTAGAGGTCGCTTCGGTGGCCTGTGATTCTGGGTGCTCGTATTTCAACTGTCTATCATTCCGAGATGGTGTCACTGGCTGTGACTGTGTGTCGAGATCGGCTTTCACATCTTCCTTTCCCTTCTCTGGTGTCGAAAATGGCTCTGCTTTGTCGAAATTGCTGCGAAGAAAGACTCGTTCACCAGGTGGAATCGCAAAGGTCAATTTCACCCCATCACGGTCAACGACCTGTAGCAGTCAGCAAATGGCGAAGCTGTATGCGGAGTGGATAGATCTATTCATACCCTAACTTCCTTTTCGACGACAATCTTGCCGGGGCCTCTACCGTAAACGTAGTAAAATTTCCAGACGTCGCCCAGCTGGATGACACCTTCTTCGATAAGAGTTCCCATCTTCACACGCGCACTTTCTCCAGCAGCTGCATTCCAGAAGACTTTCTGCTTCTGTCCCCAGAACTGCTCATATTCGCGCTCTTTGAAGTCGTCAAAGTCCCCGTTTTCGCGCTGCTGTCTGGCTTCCTGCGCCTGGTGTAGCCATTCTGGGTCGTAGCGCCCGTTTTGGAGGTCGATCTGGAACTGTCGAACTCCGTCGCGCCAGTTATTTGAATAACGGATAAAAGAGTCGGGTATCGGTTGTATCTTTGCGTCTGGGTCGTCTAATGTAGATTGTGCCTCCGGGTGAACATCTGGGGGGAGTAGAGCGAGGATTTCGCGCTTATCGCTTTCCTCAAGGCAATTCCATGCTTCAGGTCGTGCCAGCAGTTTCTAGACATTTTAAGCTTATCGTTAGCTTGGATAACCTGGCATTGCACTTCTGAAAGATTGGCTCATACCACTAGATCAAGGTCAATGAGGAGGGACTTATCGCTCGTCAATAGCTGCTCCTCGCTCCATTTCCCTCTAGCGGCTGGCCTTCTTGGGGTCCTAGCTCGCGAGCTCGCTTCGGACTTTGGGGTCGACATGGCGAGACCCGAGTGTTCTGCTACATCCGCAGAACTAGCAGCAGCACGACTAGGGCATTATTATAAAACGTCAGTAAGAAAAGAGAGTAAAAAGCAAATGCGGAGCTTACCCCGAACGTCGTGGTTCTGCCGCACCGGGCCTCGCTACCGCCTTCGTGTCTCTCTTCCTCGGAGCCATTCTAACAGCAAAACAAAGGAGAAAGCGCTGTCTTTCAGAACAAGAAAGCAACGTTTTTCAGGATGGTCAGGTCGACGCAGATTGCAAGGCTTGATGGTGAGGAACTCTCTGGGAGGTTGAGAAGGGCGGAGTGCTGATGTCAAAGTGAAATAGGCCTTATGCTGGCAGCTTCGGTCGACGACGAGCAGGTACGTGACGATGATTATTTAAACCGATCATGAGCTTATGATATCTGTAGGCTGAATCGGAGCTCTCAGAGATTAAAGGTCAGGCTAAAATGATATTTCGGCGCTTGAATCGCAACTCCGCACCCCAAGCCAGTATTGAGTCTGGCCAATTCAATCTTCAGTAAGTCGCCCATCAGTCAACAAACATTATCAATGGACACTTTCTCATATGGCTTGCAGCTACACAATCCAGGATGAGATCTGCTTTCTATGCATTTGCGACAAGTCCTATCCGCGCAAACTCGCATTCACCTATCTCGCTGATCTGGCATCCGAATTCACAACTACCTATACCTCCTCACAATATCTCTCACCCACCCTCCGCCCATACGCTTTTGTTGAGTTTGATACATTTATTCAGCGCACAAAGAAACTGTACCAAGACAGTCGCGCATCTCAAAACCTCGACAAGCTGAACGATGAGCTCCGTGATGTCACCAAGGTGATGACGAAGAACATCGAGGACCTCTTGTATCGCGGCGATAGCTTGGAGCGGATGGGTGAATTGTCAGGTCGACTGCGCGAGGACAGCAAGAAGTACAGAAAGGCGGCTGTGCGCATCAACTGGGAATTGTTGGTGAAGCAGGTAGGTCCATAGTCTGCGCCAGATTTCCCCTGACCGAGTGGCTAACCATCTCACAGTACGGACCTTTCGCTGGTGTCGGGCTTGTCATTTGCATTCTTCTTTTCTGGCGATTCTTCTGATTCCTTGCTCTCCGTGGCCATGCTCACAGGCCTCGCTGTATGAATGTACGTATAGTTAATACCTTGGTGATTGCGGGTTACAATCCGCCGATTCTAGAATACGGAGAATTGCGTGTGAACATGTATCGTATTTGATGATGTCTAAATCTCATCCTCTTCTTCGTCGAAATCGTCTTCTTCTCCCATGTCGTAAAGAATTCGGCCTCCTTCGCCTGGGCCATCGTTATGCTGGGCGTCAAAGTACGGCAACACAACACCTTCTCTTTCACGCCTCTGTCGGTCGGTGAGACCCAGCTCGAAGGTCGATGTCGGTTCCTCATCGCCGGCGCCCGGATCTCGCTCCATGGGAGGGTTGTACAGAACATTATCGTCAAGCAGCGTCACAATCTCTTTCAGATGCTGTGGCGAATACCGCGACGCAGGCGGGAGAAGGTACCATTCCAGTACGCCACGACCACTCTTCCGTCTGTGCTCTAGCTCAATGACAATTCCCTCGGCTTTGCCAGTACCGAGAAATCTGTCTAATCGGCCGAGGAGGACGCCTTCTTGCTCTTCCTCAAGCCCGAAGACTGGAGGAGCCAGGCTGCGGTCGCGAGCAGCCTTATGTGCTAGAACGTGTGAGAATGAATGGAGTGTGATGATGCTCGTAGCGAGATATGTCAATACAGAAATAGGTGTTGACGAGTAGGGACTTTGCTGCGGAAGTTCAGGGACATCTTGATGATACGTCACCACGAGTGACGCATCAACCTTGGCCGATGGCGACGTCGGAGCAACAAACGAGCCAAGCAAGGAGGGCAGGTGGAGCCCAGGGTCAACTCTTTTTGAGTTCAAAAGAGGGTTAATTGAATCAATGAGGATAAGACGCCCTAACAGGCAGTAAGTATGAGTTCACTAGCACGGTAAATGCAGAATGCTTACTGCGTGAGGGGTTGGAAGCTGCAACAGGCTGGTAAACCGCGCTCACTTCTTTAACTATATCGGCCGGGCTCTTGTGACGCGTCGATACAAAAGCATCGACTCCATCGGGTTGCTTCAGGGTTTCAAAAGCGATAAGCGTGACATGGACTTTGGACAGCTGTCGAACTAGTTAGCATGGCCGTCCACTCCCGTATCTCGCGACGCAGGTGTTGCTTATGGCAACATTATAAATCCATATACCTTTGCACGCCTAATGTATTCTTTCAGGAGTGGCGTAGCCGGTTGCTCCAAAGAATCCAAGACAAGTGTGAGGGGCGACGCAGTGTCACGCAAGCTCAAGAGTTTCGAGATCAAGAGCAAATTGTGCGTCCGCCTGTGTGAAAGGTTGATAGGCGCCATCTTTTTTCGATATTAGATACCGTTCTCGTTCAATTGCTTTCTGGAGACGCAGGTTGATGACCACACAGGAAGTGGGGTTGCGTTGCGAAAATTTCGCGGTGGAATTTAAAGTTGAGGCTTGACGGGTCGGCCCGCGGGCTGCAGCTCTTCAGCGCCCTCACTGCCTTAGGGGCCCTGCCGGGTTGTTAAGCCAGTTGTTGTGCGATTGAGTACTGTGCATCTATTGTATCGGGCCTTTCAGGTCTATTACCCTGAAGTGTTAATTATCTGTAAGTTTTTATTGTTACATGAATCCCCATGGATGCGGAAGGGAACAGGCGAAATAATATGTCGAAGATATACCCAACAGGTCCGACTTTTGGTATCGTAAGCACTTATTTGTATATAATGGAAATTCGTATAAAAACCTAAGTCCTCTTTATTGGTAAGAGAACAGCCTATCAATATAGCCGGGGTCATCGGCCCGGTAATCGATACCGCTGTTAGATGCTATGGATATATATCATGTATGTATAATCAACAGAGACATACCAAATAATCGCAATTAATGAGTCGTCTGTTCAGTCGCATAGTGGGGCAATAGATCTATTCATGTTGGATATAGAAAGCTTCGGAGAAAACAGTTGCTAGCAAAGGAAGCCGCTGCTCCGACTCTGCGACTCTGTTTTGCCCCTTTTGATGAAATCCAGAGTATTGAGGTCGCAGCCAAAGATCAGACCGTTATTACTCGCCTGACATACGCAAGCGAACACTCCCTGCTAGTCCCTGAGGAATACCTATCCGAGAACGGACGAGCAAAACCGAACATCTCTAAAGAAACATGGATGGGAGAAGAATTGGAATATGTATTTATTTTCCATCAGATAAACAACAGATTATGATGGGCAACCTTGGAAGATACTTCCTTCAACACTTATGTATTTAATCCGACTCTTTTTCGACCTTACCACTACATACTGTCATTGCCTTTTCTGACCGCACGAGTCTAGCCCCAGGACAGAGTATAAATTTTCTTTTCACGTTATTTTGGAACGGATTTCAGAACAATTGTTTTCATGCCTTGGTCTATAAATTCCTAGGCAGCTCCGCCCAAAGTGGACTAGCTAATGTAGTTAGTGCATTTTCTGCCTGGCACTTGCCCGTTTCTGTCTGGGCCCCCACCAAGCCAAGACTGCGCGGGTACAAAAGTAACCTTGGGACGCGAATGATTGAATATTTGCTGAATCTTTCGCTTCATGATCAGAATTCGCAGGTTGAGGACAACCTGCATGGCAGGGGAGATAATTGCAAAGGAAAAGCGTTATGGAGATGGGACCCAAGATTATGATGTATATTTAGCTCCTTTCCAAGTTCGAAAGGAAACTCGGAGACCAGATAGATGCATTATCGTGACGATCACGATTCATGGACGAAGATGTACAAGAGCGCCTCCCCTAAAATTTGGACTTAGCAAGAATTAGTCTCTGCAAGAAGAAGAATACCATACGTTTTCCCCTCCACTGTTTAACTCGCCAGACCAACAAGAACTAGCCTGACAGCTAGTATTGCTATACCAGTCTTCAACGTCGAGATGTCTTCAAATTCCAATCCACAGCTTCGAATGCCGGGGTTCGATGTAAATCTGAGCTGCCTGCCCGATGTGAGAGACTAGATCTTCCTTTCACACATGCTGATTGATAACAAACTAGGAAAATGTGATGAAAATCTGGCATCACGGCTTTCTTAATGCATTGGATGAAAGCGTGACGGCAGATGACTACTGGAGGTATGTTCTAATGATAATATGAGCGGCATCTTGAGTTAACCTTGCTCTCCAGCGACCTAGTGCCCCACCGAGAGGTTCTGATGATGCGAGCAATTAACACCATTACCGATAAGCCTCAATGGGAACAGAAGGTGTGTTCTGGCTCGTTTATAACCTTTAGCTTCCACGGTTGTTTCTAACCTCCTATAGGTCTTTGATGAGGACATCACGACGAAATGTTGCAACGAGATTGCCCAAAGTGGTCAAGGCGTGACTCCTAAGATGATGGACTGGATTATCAAAGAGCTCCAGTGGAAAGCCAGAATTCTTAAACATACGGGCTACGTCCGTGTCTACTTTGATGTGGGTGTGATCAAGTCTGATACCGCCGTGTCAAAAGAAATACAACAGTCCCTGCAAGAGGCAGTAAAACTCTCGAGAGTATACCGGAGAAAGATTATCACCCCGGCTCTGATAACAAAGTAGTTGATCTAGTTCATCCCTCACTGTTCCCGGTGATCTATGGCCAAGCTCGCGTGCTTCCGGACAGAGTCATCGACCTCAATGACTGTCTAGGAAGCGTGGGGACAAGGAGATCCTGTCCCGTTTCCTTCGAGTGAACGTTGTGGCCAATTTTACCGCGGACGTCAATATGACGGTCCAGAGCAAATTCATATCTTGATCCACAAGTTTCAATGGCTCCCGTGTGACGTGGAACTCGTCGATGACACCAGCTGTCGAATCGTGTCATACATCAATAACGCCCACCCTGTTCACCATAAGCATTTTTATGAGGTCGTTGAGAATATCATCGCTCGGGCAATCCCCCTCTGGAACCGCAGTCTGTCCGTAATCGAGTACAAGAATCAAGTACGACAGTGTCGAATATGGTGAGCATCCAGAACCCAAGCCTGTTGAGCCGGAGGGGTATAACCACAACTAACGTGAGTACTCGCCCTATTATCCTTCCTGAGCCAGCCAGCTTGGAATCTCAAAAAGAAAGC